ACGTGACTTTAAAAATAGCAGAATTATAGTCACAAACGGATTTAAAATCCTGGAATCTTAAATTGATCCATTCATACTGAGCTCTCGGCAGTAAGACCTTTTGTTGATGACCATATCTCTCTTGGAGATTATCCCATAATTCCTTCGGATCTTCCACCAATAAATATTCAGATTTTAAACTTTCATGAAGATGGTGGCGAAGGAAAATTATGGCTTTTGCCTTTTGCTGAGATGATGATGTATTGTTATCAGCAATTGTATTTTCGAGGTCATTAGCCTTGAGGTGAGCAAGTGCATCAACCCTCTATTCCAGGTACCTTTGACCGGATAAATCAAGAATGTCGAATTCTCTTTTGGTGATGTTGGCCATGGAATAACTATAACATATTAAATTAAATTCATTAGTTTTTTTTTAATAATCGTAATTTATTTTTTTTTTGTGAACAATGTCATGATTATAAACAAAATCAAAAATGATTATACACACACACATATTCAATACCAAAAAGAAAAAGATAAAACAATTTCAATTATGTGTAATAATTTTTACTCTTTCATTTAAAATTAAAAGAAAAACATACTTCCTCCACTAGTGGTGAGTACGAAAAGAAGACACTCCCTCAAGAATGTTCAAAAACAAAAGGAAAAAGACAAATTAGAGATAAATTAGTGCTGATGCCATGTGAAGAAGAAATATGATGGAGAAGAAAAATAATAATACTCCGTAGTATGTTCCTTCAACCTTTTATTGGAGTCTTAAAATCATTCCCCTCTTTCTCTCTCTTAGCATATACTCCGTAGAAAAAAAAATTATATGCAACAAGAAGAAAACACTACTAGAAAGTTTCAAGTAATAAATTTTAAGAAAGTTATATGCGTGGAGGGGAGTCTACCATTTATACATAGTTTAATTTAAGGTATGTTCATAATTGAATTCTAATTTTTTTTAATTTTTTTTTAATATTTTATTTTAAAGCTACTCTGTACTAAATTCTACTTTGCTTTAATTTATCAAAAACATGATTTTCTGATATTATGAGGAAATTTATTCCATTTTAATTTATCTAATTTTATCTTTTTATAAGTATAAGTTTCTGATGTGAAGGATCCCAACTTTGGGCAATCACAGAGCATACTTCTCATAGTTTTTAAGAAAATATTTTAATTTGTTCATGAAGAAAATAAAATAAATATACCTTCTGAGAAGAACAAGGATTCTGGGATTTTGAGCAATTCGTGCTGATAATGTGTTATAAAATGAGAGAAAAACTACTCAGAGATTATGAGAATAGATATAATATATTTCTGATTTCTTCTCTCTATTAACTCTTCACTCTTATTCTTATACTTAATGGTGATTACAATGCAGGGATTAAGCCTCTATTTATAGTGGAGAGGCTTAGTATGAATACAAATACAAGTGGGAAGGACTGTACTAAATTGATACTCATCAATGGGTGTCTTAATCTACTATTCTGGAAATTATGTCTGATTAATTGAATAAATGAACAATCATTAATTTCATAACATTTTACATAAAAATTTAACAGTGTATATTACTTTTAAAAAAATGTTAAAGGTTATCATCTATAACATTTCCAAGCGCTATGCTAACTGCTAATGTTAATGCCAAAGAAGGTCTATAGTATAATAGTTAAGCTTTTTTTTCTCTAATTCTGGATCAAAAATAATGTTATACTCCCTCCGTCCTATATCTTTTTTCTCGTTGCGCAAAACGAAGAAAAATCCTAAGTTTTTTCAATCTATTTTATTTAAATATTGGTATAGAAATAAAAAATAAAACATACATATTTAAAAACTACATCAAAAGTTCAACAAAACAAGTAGTGACAAAAATATTTTATTTTATCATATAGGCTATAAAAAACACAAATAAATATAAATTCCCGTGAAGTTGGAATAGTGCTCTGGGAAGAAAGCTTTAGGACGGAAGGAATATAATTGTTAAGTTAAGAATATATTGATATTTGTTACTCCGGGGTATTATCTAAATTATAAATGCAATTTTAGAAAGAGTAATTTACATAAATAGGACTAAAACATAATGACTTTCTCAAAATAGGACCATATGTTTTTATTTCTCAATGTAAGACCATTGGTCATTATCTATTAGTCATTATTCAACTAAATGTCCAGCATCACCTGAACATTATTCTTCTCACTAGTCATTATTAAGTCCTATTTAGGGAATAAAAAACTTTAAGTCCTACATTGGGAAATGACTTGTGTTTTAGTTTTATTCAGTGCAAATTTCACTTTTAGAAAAGACTATTTAAAAATTTAGTCTGGATTCAAATAATAGAAAATACAAAGTACACCTTAATTTATAACTACAGAGTACATATAATAGAGTTTTAACGAAAATGTTTAAATTTCAAGAAAAAACTTAATTAGATAGATTTCTTTTAGAAACTTACACTAAGATGAGATGATAAAAAATACTAAAATATCTCCATTTAACATTCATATAATAGAGTTATTGACAAATAATTACCAAAGAAATAAATCTCAACACGTAGATAATTTTTACTTGAGTAAATTCCATAAATAGTCCTTTATAACAGGGGGGTTTCCATATTTAGTCCTCTATTATCAAATATTACCTCCGTAGTCCATTTTTTAAGAGTACCTTTCCACAAATGGTCCTTTTTTGATCTTGTGCCGTGTTGGTGTTATTTTAAAGGCTAAAAGTATAATTTGACGTCAACATTATGTCTAATAACGTGTTCTGATACTGGTTAACCGGATAACACACAAATAATGACTATGATTGTGGGCTAAGATTTTGACGAAAGATCACATTTGTAGACTATAGTTATCGTAAAAAGCGACTGCAATTCAAAAACGATGCAAACGGAACAGCCTTTGGAATTGTGTATGACAAAAAAGATATATTATCATTGTGAAATTACACTTTTAGCCCTCAAATTAATACCAACATGATAGAAGATCAAAAAAGGACTATTTGTGGAAAGGTACCCATAAAAGAAGGATCACTTGAGTAACATTTTTTCATGTGTTGTAACATTTTTGACACGTGTTGTAACATTTTTTCATGTTGTCTTATAAATATTTTTTTCATTACTTTGCAAGTCAACGTGGATTGTTTCCCCTTATATTTTTATATCTATCTTGGGACAATGACAAAGCATAACAACTCGAACTCATTCCATTGTTCTGATCCCGAATATGTATTAGCTTGTGGTAATCACACACTTTAAGAAAAGTATAGGAAATAATGGTGGCCTTATGAAAATTCAGGGAAAATAAAAAAAACATGCAATTTCAAATAGTTCAGAGGTAAAACACGCACTTTATTAAAAGTGTAGAGGCTAATGATGCATTTTTTAAAGTTCGAAAAGAAAGTATGCACTTTATGAAAAGTTCAATGCTAAATAATACGAAAACCTCAAACTAATAACACAATGTTTGATGTACAAAAACTGTTAGTCACAAAAAGAAATCACAAATTTATCATTTATAAAATTTAGTTTTCACTTTTTTAAAATATTTGAGAAGATTTTATTCCTTTTGTGATTACATTCGTCAAGTTTGATTTTTTCGAGTCAAACTCAGCAAACCTTGATCATCAATAAAAGAAAATGATACTTCATATTCGATATTAATACAAAAATAATTTTATTAGGTTTATTTTGCAAAAGAATTTGAGAAATGTATTTTATTGTATTAATATGCATTGCAAATTAACGTAACTAATGATTAAAGTTCATCATTTTGACTAAAAAATGAGTCAAATTGGACATTCTTTGAAACAATAGCGAGCCACACGTTTGGAGGTTGTTTGACAGTTGGCCACTTATTAACATGCCAATATGATGTTCACTGTTTTGCCTTTAGTGCAAAAATATGCAGACATTATCAAGAGTGGCAGAATGGAAAAAGGGAGAGCAACAATGTCTAAACCTCTGTGCAAAACATAAGCCATTCATTAATAGGATTATAAAGAACCATCTCATCTTACACTAAAACATCCAAAGCAATATACTATGTAATTATGTAAAAATAAGAAACACATTACATTGTGCCCTTGGAACATCTGGTCTACATATAATCCAAACAATATTCATATGTCCCATCTCTTCTTCAAGCGGAACATCAGAGCCGATGCTTTAATGTCGTCTTGTGGCACTTGAAGCATGAATTGGACTTTCATCTTCATCGGCGCCGACTTTGCTTTCCCACTTTCATCTCCCACCTATATGCCATTGTTAGACCAAGAAATGTCACAAGCCAGAGGTGAGTGTACTATTGAAAAATGCTGCTGTAGATTGGAATTCATGTTGATGAAATGAAATTGCAAGACCACATATTTTTTTGGGAGAAAGAATGAAGTAGGAGTAAAACATAGAAAATATACCAAAATAGATCTATGTTTTTGTTCCCAAACTAAGAGTTAAAATGCATATCACAGTGCAAACTCTTATTTTGGAGATAAAAACATGGAACTTCTATTTTGGTACTTTCTCTATGTTTTACTCCTATTTAGGGTGATTTCTTACTCGATACACTTGATGAAAATTAAGGCTGGTTTTATTGTGCCTTTGATAGGGTATGTGATGGATATATATTCACCGGCATATCAGATTTGTGATGTAATAATCAGATCGAAAGCAATATACCACGAGGGAGATGAAGCTCAATAAAACTTTCTTTGTATCTCAGAAGTGTGATCTTTTCTCTAAGCTAGAGGAGGTATATTTACGCCTGTACGGGAAGAGGCCAACCATCATGGGAACCTACTTCCCATGTCCCAAGAAGACATGGGAGCATGGCCAATGATCATGGGAGGCCATGGGGGATGTGGGGGAGATCATGGAGATAAACTCGTCCCCTAACCCTAGTGCCTAACTCGACCTGCCACCATTCCCAGCCTTACAACCGGGTCATGTTAGCCCGGCCCATTTAATGTGGGCTTCATCCGCTTACCAAGTGTGTGGGATTCAGTGGCATGTGCCTGAATACAATATTAGTTATAGAATAGACTGTGTATATTGAGCCTAATTCACTATACACATTTGAGCCGGTCCCCATACACCCATCTGTATGTTTGGAACTTCGAAAATGGCAGGGAAAGGGAAAAGATTGCTGTGGAAAACGAATTAGAGTTGGAATACATACCCATAAAGATGCCCATCCAAGTCGCACCTCTGAATCATAACCTGCTTTAAGCTTGTAGTCTTTGCTGACTGTGTGTTTGTACACAGTGCTCCAATAGTTTGTATCAAAATTATACCAGTAGCTGAGTAAAATAGCACAAAATTATGTAAGACCTTGTAAAGCTAAGATGTCTTTCATAACAGTTCACTATCACTTTTATGAAAACAGAAACATATTTTAAAAAATATTGAAAATAATTTTTTTTTAATTATTGTTTTCAAGAATTTGTTTCTACTTTTTTTACATTGTAACATTTAGATTTCTTGTGAAAAAGTTTTATGTTTCCATATTAAGTGAAACACACCACAAACAGATAGATTTCCTCATATTATATATCTGAAGCAGAACAATCAAACATTTTTGTTTATTTTTTGAAATGTGAAAACAGCCTGGGGTCTCTTGGAAACAGCCTCCCTACTTCCGAGTAGGGGCAAGGTCAGCGTACACACACCCTCCCCAGACACTACTGTAGTGGGATTCAACTGGGTTGTTGTTTGTTTTGAAATGTGAAAACAACACATAACATTAAAAATTGTGAAAATTAAAGCACAAAACCCGAAACATTACCAAACGAATCCTGTAACCCTGACTGCATCTATCATATATTCAAAAGAACATCATTTGAACTCCTAACTAAGTCTAGTGGTGGGAAATTGACAGCCAATACTACACTCTGCAGGCTGCAGCAGACAGTCTTGAATCTTGTATATGAAAAAAGTGATTCCTATAAGATTGGTGTTTGATTGTGATAGACATTTCCTATTTGGTAGTTGCTTTTATTTGGCACTACCTATTTTGCAGTATAAAGTTAATTTTTTCTTTTGGGCAATCTCCCAATATAAACTTCTCTTTCTTTTAAGGAACTATTTGTGTGATTGGCATAGTTTACAATCATTTAAACATAAATCTAGACCATAATTTCACCTTCTTATTAAGCATGTCACTCAACTAAGAACTTTATGATGGGAGGAGGAAGTATTTTATTAAAAGGGTGGACAGAACTATTAACCCATCAGTTTGAATTTCGAATAGAAGTCAACTAAGAATATTAAAATTTTACATCTCAATCCTTGACATGAATGAACAATGGTGCTAAGGGCAGTCCAATAATACTTCATAAAAAAAAAGTTAAAAAATTTACATGTATGTGACATATTATGATATTAATAAAAAAATCAAACAAATTCAAAACAGATATCACAAACACGATGCATGTTGGGGATGTAGGAACCAGGGAACGCCACCACACAAATGAAGTGGCTCCTAATTAGGATTCTTTAGGGTTCCATTATTACCCCAGACCCTAACCTTGTGGGATTCAAAATGGTTTTTGTTGTTGTTGTTGTAGAGTTCCATTATTAAGCCTAGTATGAACATTGACTATTTTGGTCCAATTTCAAATAGTGCATTTAAAAATAGGAAGTATAAATATCAACAAGCTTTAACAATTGAAAGTTAGACACTAATAATTCCAAAGTAATGAGGAATGAACAAACGTGGTCCTTTTACCAATAGACCCCTAACATAAAAGTATCTTTTTTCATTTTTCAAATTAGAATGGTTAGGACAACACTCTTATCCAAATTGATAAGCAGTAAAAGTAGAACACTGATAGTCTAGAGATCAAAACCAGAACTAGTTTTAAACTCTCAATGTGTCATTGGTGTGAATCGCTATGTACTTCAATGACGAGGAAGAATAAATTAAACATATGCTGAAATTTTAAGAAAATGTAGAAAGGTGTTCACCTCAACTTGTCTGAAGGACCAAATCGACGCTTGAATGCAAATGACACTGCATTTGAAGGCAAGCTAATTTGAGGATTTAAAGTCATTTGCTCATCCTGCAACAAATTGAAATTATAAGCATTCTTTGACATTTTAATTCCTAGGTATGGCACACAATTATCTTAGACATTAACACGTAAAGGAGAAAATAGCATATATGGGGATTGAAAATGTGATTTAAATTAAACTTAAAAAGAAATTAAGATGGTGTTGTTTGTACAAGGTACAAGAAAAATGAAAGGAACAAACAACAGATAATAAAAAGTTGAACAATTAGAATTAAATGGACCCATTTCCTTAAATGCTTAAACTGTTAGGACTTAGGAGTTAGGAGACACGTTTATCCTCTAATTTAGCATTATCAACAGTCAATACGAATATACAATAATAAGTACAATTGTACAACTCAAGGAAAAAAGAGAAATGAGAGGCTTAATGCAAATTATGATATTCCAGCAATGCCATCATTTGACCTGAAAGTCTGAAACTAATAGTGCAAAGGCATAACAAAGTAAAATACCATGAAGAAATTACCTTATATAAGTATCCTAAATCTAACAATTCATCCTTGTATTGTGCAGTGCAAACTCCATTTAAAATATGGCCCTTGAGGATTCCATTTATGGAGAACGCTTTCTTTGCTTCCTCTTCCTCCACCTCTTTATCCTGTAGTGAAACTTCACCATGGGGGAACTTAAAGGTGACTTTCGGCTGTAGAATTAAAGTGGAGATATATAATGAGAACAAATTAGTCCTAGAATTTCAGAAAATACTTTAATAGTGATGAATCCATCATACAAGCATGACCGCATTTACCCTTCAATAAACTAATTTTGATTAAAGGTCAGTTTCATGGAAGTGACATGTTGGAATTTTTTTGTGATGGAAGAAATGGTTAAATGACACTGATCCATGCATGATAAAATCAAGGAGAATATCTTCCTTGAGCAGAGAATGTTCATGTCAAGCTCTTTCTAACAACCAATGATGTAAAAAAAAATACCCCATTTTTATAAACTTCAACACAGTTCAAATGATTTCACTATTTTGATTTTTCAGACTAGCAGTTTTGCAATGCACACTTGTTTGAATTATTTCAAAAGAAAAGTTATCAATAGAGGGAAATCGAGTATAAAAACAGTCAAATTGACCATCAAAGAATGTTATTGACTCACAAAATGTGATAGGGAATTAGAGATATACGATAAAATCAGGAGTCTAAAGTGAAATAAGGTCTGTGAATTATGTGAATACATGAATCTGAAGTTCTAAACACTTCACACAAGCAGACTAGCACCAATAATTTTCACAAATACCATTATTCATCATTCCATAACCATATAAAAAAACTTCAAATGAAAATCAGTACCGCTGTGCCAAGAGCCGGAACACTAGAGGACAATTCTAACTTATAGGCAGGACCGGAAAGATCTGCAACCATAGCAACTTCTCCTTGTTTCGACTGAAATCATACAAAAGGGGGTAAGCAAATGGGAATGTGAACATGAAGAATTGAAGAAATCATCATAGGCTACAATACAACCACTAATTATAACCAGACATACTGGTGAAAATTGTAATAATACTCGGGGAAAAATTGCTCAAGGATGAAGAAGAATGCATTGATAAATAGAGTGGAGAGACAGACCTTGACATCGTGAATGGCCTTCAACTGCAGGGAGGGAGTGAGGTCGAAATTAGCCTTGACAATGGCGTTTTGGTCTTCAACGTCGTAGTGCAAGGACAAGTACTTGGAAGTCAAGTCCAATTGGGGCTCCGAAATCTCTCCTTTCCCGTCGTTCTGAAACGACAGCTTCACCTTGGCTAAGCTGTCCAGCAGCTTGCAGGAGATTTTGTGCAGGAAAACGGAGCTGTCGCTGTCGTATTCCGACGTCACCCTAACCCTCGGCCGGCGGTTCTGTAGCCATAGAAGCGGACCGAATCCTCCGTCGCTGGGAGGAGAAGGAGGAGGAAGAGACTCAGATTTGAACTGAGCCAGCGGCGGTGGATTGAGAGCGAGAGAGGCGGAGGTAGGGTTTGGCGGCGGCGGCGCGTGGAGATGAAGCTCCGCTTCCGCCATGGCTAGTGTCAGGGGAGTTTGGAAATGAATTGAAATGGCGAGGAATGCGATTTTGGTCTGCAGGGCGGAAATTCATCTGGAGGGGGTAGCCAATTTACAGTGGGAGCATGAAAGTAAAAAAAAAAATCAAGAAAAAATATATAAATGGCCCATGCAGGTTTCGAACCTGCGACCTTCGCGTTATTAGCACGACGCTCTAACCAACTGAGCTAATAGGCCTCAACGACACTGCTTGTTATCTGTCATATATATCAGAACAATATGGATTAGGATAAAACAAAATTATTCGAAATATTGTAGTAAATTACCAAGAGTATCACATAAGATCAATTATGATTCAGTTGTATCACAACTTTCTATAGAGACTCATTGCTTATTGAAGCTTTTTCCATCATCAGGGTGTATGCAACGAGCATGAAAATTGAATTTATAAGACGTTGATGGAAATTTAGTCAAACATCAAAAATGTACTGGAATGAATATGGGGAGGGGGCAGAGAGCGTATTCAACATTGCATTGACTTGACAAAGCGAGAAGGTGGCTTGACAAGAAATGGTGAGTTACTATCAGAGTGATCTGCCGCGAACCAAACAAGGTTGATCATTGACTAGTTGCACGCGTCTATAAATAGGAGCACTACAAAATAATGAGTGGAAGATCTGTGACACTCCCCTCCCTCCCTCGAAAGTGAAGAAGAATATCTGAATGATATGACGCGTGTAACAATTGCCGGAGAGTTAGAATCACAAGGCTAGTTTTATGTTTATCTCCCTCGAGGTTACTACCCTCCCTTATCGAAAAACCAAAAACAAATAAATATAGTGAAAGAGCGATTCTCTTGACAATGAGTCTAGTTGACACAATAATGCCACTAGTGTTTTAAAGCACATATGAAACTTCATTCACAAAATTAATAGTTTCCACTCCCAATCCCTCTGAAACCCCCCACCCTAGCTCGGTGCGAACTCACACCCCCAACTCCTTCAATTTTATACCCAAAATTAGTTGCATTTGAAGTCAAAATATTTGACCTCAAAGTCTTCAAAATTTGGCAGATGGAGTTGAAGGGGTTGGAGATAGGGGTGGGGTGGGGGTGTGATCTAGCTAGAGTGGGGGCCAGGGATTCACAGTGGGGGGGAGGGGAGGAAAGACATAGACCATCAATTTTATTATCAAAGTATCGTAGTCGTTGCAATTGGAGCGAGTGTCATCAAATGACACTCGTGGTGAGACTCATTGAACCTCTGATCTCTAATATAGAAAATGCTTGTGGTTTGCTAGTAACATACCTAAAATTACGTGTTACATACATCAGATTGGTTTTGTTGCCAGTGGGTGAGAGTGCCTCTTTGTTGTTACTACTTTTAATTTTCGAGCCCTTATCGTTCTATGTTTGAAAAATTGATGATTTTTTCCTTCAATTCTAATCCCTAACCCCCAGGTAATTCTCTGTACCTCGTCCCAACCCGAACACCCCCCCCCCTCAAATTTAGTTGCTTTGGAGTCTGAGGGCGGGGTGAGGCAGGATGTCCAATTGATAGTGATAGGGAGTGGGTTTGGGTTGGGTAGGGTATATGTTTGGAAATAGAAACCATCAACTTTGTAAGTAGAACAATAAAGAATTTAGTGACATCTTATATAGGCCCTGTTTGGAATTTAGCGGTTAGCGGTTGGGTGATAGCTGTTCGTGTTGGCTGGTTTGAACGCCGGGTTGTAGGGGTGAGCAAGTACCGAACCGATACCGAAATTTCCCGAAAAACTCGAGAATACCGAACCGAAAAATACCAAACCGAAAAAGTACCGAGAAGGAACCGAACCGTACCAAACCGAACGGTCGGTGCGGTATTCGGGAATGGTACGAGGTGACATCCCATACCGGAAATCCCATACCGAACATATATACTAAAATATTATAAAAATAATACCCTGGAGTAATATTTTTATATATTCCTTCACTAAATTATAATTTTTTAAAAAAAAATTGGTTCAAGTTTTATTATGTGTAAATTATACTTTTATTTGAGTTTTAATTATTGTGTATGAGCATAAAAGTATTCACAAAGATTCAAAATACTCCTTTGTTGTCATTCATTTTTTAGTTTGTGAAATACTCCGTATAAAATAAGTTTTTGATACGCATCTCTTGCATTTAAATATTCATTTTTTAAAATTTTCCATGTTTTTTTATTTTAATTCACTTTTAATTTTCAAAAATAAAACGGTATTGTTAAATTTTAACGTGTAAAGTATGTATGTATCTTCATCCCAATTTGTACCGAAACCGACACCGAACCATCCCGAACCATACCGAACCGATATTTCGGGATCAGGATCGGTACGGAGTAAAATCTCATACCGAACCAAAATATTTGGTACGGTATCGGTACGAGCTAAATACCGTACCATGCTCACTCATAGCGGGTTGAGTTGGCTGATTTGACCAATCGATTATGTTGGCGGTTGATAAAAAATGTTTGGCAAACTTAGCTTCTTCAAAATAGCTTTTATAAATTGAATTTAATTTAATGAAATTTTCACCTATATAATTATATGGTATAACATGCTTTGGAATATATATTCTTTCTTTCCTCAAATAAAATTTTAAGATATATATTGTTCTAAAGTGATTATGATTTTATTTATTTATGTGTTTTTATCAATCAATTGATAGAATGATATAATTATATGGAGTACCATATTTTGTTTCAAAAAACTTTTGATGTAGATATTAAATTTATAATTTGTTTATTTCTACACCAAAATCTTAAAAAAATCAGATTTTTTTCCGCGCAAATCGCTTCATGAATTTACATGGGGAAAGACTATTTATTATTTATATGCATATTATTTACTTATTTATTTTCTTAGTTATTATTTTATTTACTTATTTATTTATCAACTTTTTATTTATATATTTATTTGAATACCATTTTTTATTTAATTATGCAATAAATAATAATTTTTTTATTTATTTATAAAAATTACATACAATAACAAATAATAAAAAAATCTATTTTCCAACAGCCAAACCGAAATGCTATTCCCTGTAGCTTTTTAAATTTTGGCTTTTTGGGTTCAAATTGCCAACCATTGCAGCCAACTACCAAACACTTTTTTGGCGGTTTGACCAGTCAAATTTGCTAAAATGGGTCAAAACAGCCAAAAGTCATCCCAAATGCCAAAAACCAAACATGCCCATAGTGACATTGTTGCGTGGTGGCAACAGAATCTCTTCCTACATTCATAGCTGCTTTTAAATTTCAACTCATTTACATGTATTATGAAATAAATGTACATAAAATTGAATACATATTTGTTGCTACATAAAATTGAATTGTTTGGATGAAATAGATAGAATAGAATAACGCAATAGCGGCATAATTAGCGTATTAGTAATGGTCTAATAATGGATCCGACCGACCAATAATTAAATCATTAACCATACAAACATCCTCTGTACGTTGGAATCAAGTAATCCGAAGCGTTACTATTTTTCTCTCGAATAATGAGAGGGGTAAACGACGTCGGAACCAAGCAGAGCCCTCTGCTCCGTAGATCAACGTCGTCGTCTTCTCCGCCGCCGCCGCCGGCATCTTTTCTGCCGCCGGCCACTATAAACCCTCCCCATGGAACATCCTGCAGCGGCACATATGCATCCAAGAATCGTGATCAATAAGGTTTTACTCCCTCTTAAATACTATTCGTTCCGAATCAAATTAGATACTACCTCCGTTTCTCAAAAGAGTTCCTCTTTTGACTTTGGGGATAATAAGTAAGTGTTAAATTGTAGTTGACTTTCCAATTTTGCCCTTGATGTGATGAGTAAAAGTAAGATGTGATAGTTTAGTTGTTAGTGAAAAAGTATGATGTGATAGGTAGGGTATGAAAAAGTAGGGGTAAAAGTGGTTTTTTAATAGAAAGGGGAAGTGTTTTAAGAAAAAAACAAAAAAAATGAAAGAGGAAGGTTTTAAGAAACGGAGGGAGTATATATATATACACACACACATATATTCATTTCACAATATTTTTTGGTATCATAAATTGACATTATTGACACTGTAACTCCTATTTTGAGATTAAAAAAATAGGAAACTCGTATTTTAGTACTTTCTTCATATACTCCCTCCGTTTCTTAAAACCCTTTCCCTTTCTTTTTTTTTTGTTTTTCTTAAAACACTTCCCCTTTCTATTAAAAAACTACTTTTACCCCTACTTTTTCATACCCTACCTATCACATCATACTTTTTCACTAACAACTAAACTATCACATCTTACTTTTACCCATCACATCAAGGGAAAAATTGGAAAGTCAACTACAATTTAACACTTCCTTATTTTCCTCCAAAGTCAAAAGAGGAACTCTTTTGAGAAACGGAGGTAGTATATTTTACTCATCTTTTGGTTTTTTCACATATTATTTTTATTTATGTAATTTGACTGGTGATCAAACTTTCAAACTGGACGAACACTCAATAACAGATATGGTAAATTACTAGCACTTGCATGTTTCTCTTTGTCTTTATAAGGGCGATGCTAAGATATTTCGATATCCCAAGTTACATACGACTTTGCACACCAAAGATAAATGCAAACAACGATGTTTGTGTCGTGTTTTTTCAACTTGGGATATACGTAGCCGCGGAGTGAAAGTAAAAATTGATTCAAGAAATATATATATATATATATGACTCACCTTTCTTATTGCATTGCTCTTAGCGTGGGCGTTGGTTAGAAGCTGCAATAATAATGTTAAAATTAACACTGTATCAGAAAATTGTATTAGCAATTCACACTCTCTCCCTCTTTAAAAACATAGGAGATTTCGATTTTTAAAAACTATGTCAACAAGAAATAGAGGTGAAGTGATAGGTATGTTAAAAACTAGTAAGGGTAAAAGTGATATTTTAAATAGAAATGAGAAATTTTTTTGGGGACGAATGCAAAAAGAAAGGAGAAATTAAAGGTTTTAAGGAACGGAGAGAGTATAAATAGTAGTTGTTCTATTGAAGAGAGAGTTAACAATATTTTGATTAATTTGCTAATTAAAAGGTCCAAATATTTTCAGTGTTTTAATCAAAGTTTGACCTTTGATTAACTTTAGTTGATTATTATTTTAGTCACTGTTTGTGTGTGTGTGTGTGTGTGTGTGTGTGTGTGTGTGTGTATAATGAGCTGCTCACCTGGATCTGCTCTTGCAAGAATCTGATATGGCCTAAAGCTTCCCACAACACAGATGCTGTATCAGTCTGCCATGAAGTCCATGCAAACATGCATCATATTGTTAATTAATGAGTACATGCAACAAAGTGGGTATAATGACATCTAATCTTGGTGTGATATTCTCACATTGGTCAGATTGGAATTCATAAAAGCGCTTTGTTTGGTACATGAAATTCAAATTATGGAATTAGAATCGAGGATTGCAATTCGAATTCTACTGTTCATAAAATTGCTCTGTTTGGTACATGAAATTCAAATTATGAAATTAGAATCGAGGATTGCAATTCCAATTCTGTTGTTTAGTACCACAAATATATGTGGATTTGGAATTAGTAGTGCAAAAAATAATTTAGATTTGGAAAATTCAATTCCATCCAATTTAGTTCTATAGAGTTTTAATTTAATTTTAATTCTATCAATTCCGTGTACCAAACAGACCCAAAGTATTTTTCGTGTAAATTGATAGTAGTTCTTAATCATTCTAAGTTTTCCTAAATCAAACTATGTCAACTAATTCGAGAGGAAAGACTATGTGGATATTTCTCTATTCTAATGAGCCGGTCAAAATGGCTTATAGGGCCTGTTTGGGAACAGCGTTAGCGATTAGCGTTAGCGTTTTGAAAAGGCTATCTACGGACAGCGTTTAGCGTTAGCGTTTTCAAAGTAATCTGCACCGTTAAAATTTTATCCAAAACGCTAACGCTAATCACTAACGCTATTCCCAAACAGGCCCATAAGCTATTTTTAGTTTATAAGTTAGTAAATGATGTGTTTCCTGGTACTTATGAGTCGGTCAAAATGGCTTATAAGTTATTTTTAATTTATAAGTCAGTAAATGATCTATTTTTCTATACTTATAAGATGATTATAAGTTAGTAAAAATACGTAGATTTTACTTACTTATTTTTTAGTCAATTTTTTCATTTTTTCAATTTTGACTAGATCACTTACAAAATTATATATCTCACCTATTATGAATATTCCCAAATGACTTATATATCACTTAAGTCATTTTATCTATACGAAAGAATTCTTAACTCGATCATAAACATCTTATAAGTTAAATATGAGCACACAAAAAAAACGCCCACTATATATATGAAATGTATTTAAGGCCTATGTATTGAGTGTGCTCACCTTTCCAAATGGAGACACAATCTGTTGGAGTGCTGTGATTTTATCTGCAAGCTTAACCTTTGGAACTTGTTGTTGTATCTACATTATATAAATCATTCAAATTCCACACAAAATAATCACAACTTTTCATGCCATCTACAACAAGATTTTTTTTTTTTTTGAGTTTTTGGAAGCGAAAAAAAATTAATGGACGGAGTTATAAGTTTTTGGATGACCCAAAAAGAAAATTGAAAAAAAATAAATAATGGACGGAGTTATAATTAAGAAGTGTACCATTTTTTCCTCTTTGGAAGATGATTTTTCATCTTTGGGTCTTTTTAAGATCATTTTTTCCACATGTTCTTCAAGTTTCTTCTTCTTTGCATCCTTAGTAGTAGCAAGACTTCCTTGGCACCTCCCACTATTGCTCCTTGATATGGTGCTGCATGTTGATGGTGCCCTAGACTGTAATTTAATTACATACATACATATATACCAGTTTAATTAGGTAATTCTTAATTCACTTGCCTCAATCGACTTTATTAATAACTACCTCCGTGGCAAAGTATTTGACCAGTTTGACTTTTTCGAGTCAAACTGGACACACTTTGAGCTTCAATTACTCTCAATTTATATTACATATTACTACAATAAAATAAAATTTTGAAAATTTCCATCTAGATATATCTAATACTCGTAAAAGTATTTTCGGACCCATATATTACCCCGGAGTACTAATTTTGTTTAATTCAAGCTGAACATTCATCTTGTTTGACTTAAAAAAGTTAAACTGAACAAATACACTGAGACGGAGGGAATACTAGAGAAGCTAGCGTAATTTACATTGTTGAAATGGTACGGTTAATTAACCTCGGTGAAAGTTTTGAAAAAAATACTATTTTAATTTATACAGTCCAATATACATACAGGACTTAACAGGATCAACACCGTACCAATGGTGTTGTCCCCGCCGGCCACGGTGGTGGTTTAGTGGTGGAGCAATGACACCGGTAAAGAGAAGGCTAGGTTAGAGTAAGAGAAAAAAAGCTCTTGATATCCGGATGAAATTATAGAATCATTATCATACAAAGTACCTTTGTTGTATAAAGCTTCCATTTAAAAAAAAAATGTACTTATGAAATGTTAAAATTTCAATTTTACTTTCCAATTTCACCCTTATTTTATACTTCAACCGTTTCACAAAACATTTTTGCTCTACTTTTTTGTCCTTTCTTCAAAACACTTCTATCTCACTTAAAATGTCCAAAATACATCATCATTTCGTAGTTAATTGCGGGCTGAAGTTGTTTTGAAGGTATTTCAGTAGGTGAAGTAGAACTACTGTATTATAGATCAGAATGCATGCGCAAAAAATTAGGCCGGAAGTGTTTTGTAAAACGGTGGGAGTAGTAAAAAACGGAGTGGGAATACATTATTACTGCTTCCGTCCTAGGATTGAGTGTTTTTCGTGTTTTTATTTTTTGCATTCCATCAGCATCAACATTTGACTCGTAGTTAAATAAAAATTATATGATATATTAATTAGGTAAAATAATACTCCCTTCGTTTTTAAAAATCATTCCTCTTTCATTTTTTTTGTTTTTCTTAAAAACTTCTCTTTTCTATTAAAAAACCACTTTTACCCATACTTTTTTATACCCTATTTATCACATCATACTTTTTCACTAATAACTAAACTATCACATCTTACTTTTACCCAACACATCAGGGGCAAAATTGGAAAGTTAACTAAAATTACACTTTCCTTATTTTTCCCCAAAGTCAAAACAGGAACCGTTTTGAGAAAAGAAAGAAGTATTTTAAAAATACTTTATAAGACTAATTTAATAAAATTATTTTCATATTAATATCTAATATCAGTATTATTTAATTAATACTCCTTCCGTTCTCAAAAACACTTCATCTTTCATTTTTTCCACTTCCAACAAAACACTTCCCCTTTCTATTAAAAAACCACTTTTACCTTTACTTTTTTCCTACCCTACCTATCACATCATACTTTTTCTCTAATAATCTATCCATCACATCTTACTTTTACCCATCACATCAGGGGCAAAATTGGAAATCAACTATAATTTAACACTTTCTTATTTTTGCTCCCAAATCAAATTGGAAGGGTTTTCCCAAACGGAGGGAGTAATTAAAGTTTTTCGATTTTGAATGTAAAAAATTAAAATTGGACAAACACTCTGCGACAGATGTAGTATAAAAATTTGATACTCCCTCCGTCCACAAATAAACTTTACGTCTACTATTCACTTTTTTGGCCTATTTTCGTCACCCATTTGATAAAATAATATAGTAATGTCATCTCTAGTTTTGTATATCTTTTGATATAGTTTTTTACGGAGTAATATGTAATTTTTATTTTTCAATTCTACACCATTTTTCATATAAAATGATTTGAAAATAACTTTAGTCAAACATTGTAACGCGTAATGTAAAGTTTATTTGTGGACGGATGGAATATTTCAAAATAAATTTATTGATATTAAAATTAGGCCTCCATCACAATTCATTGTATTCTTTCCCTAATTCCAATCAAAATTCTAAAATGTTTGAGTTAAATCAAAACAAACAAAGTGGATGGAGAAAGTGTATAAGAGGAGCTCTGCTTACCGGAGAAGTATGAAGACCGACGGCGGCTCCCCGCTTCTTACTACTACCATTCCCAAAACATCCCGCCGGAAAATCCGGCGGGATGGCTTTGATCAGATCAGGAGCGCCGCTGCAATTATACTCATTCAAACCGTTACCCCCCGGAAAACACGCACTTCCCATGATACCATTATGATTGTATGAAACACCCTGCAACAGGTGTTCGTCGGTGAATGACAACGGCGGCAGGCGGTGGTGGTCAAACATCTCCGTTTGACCATCGCCTCCGCCGCCATATTGGTGCAGATTGTCGTTGTCTTTGTTGATGAAGGCGTTGTAGTAGTCTTGATGGTGGTGATGATGGTCCAGTGTTGTTGTAGTCCCCATTCTGTTCAAGTAGTCCTCGTCACTCGATGACATAATGTCAAACATAAAGTTGGTGGTGGCGGTGGTGGCGGTGGTTGTGGTGGCGGCGGCGGTGGTGGTGTTTGATGATGGTGATGATGAAAGGTTGATGAGCATGCTGCTCTCCCCAATCTCTTGTGGTTGACTTTTGTAATCCAATCCTCCGCTAGTGCTCCCTCCACTTCTGCATGCCATTCATCTTATTTTTATTTTATTATTATTTCATTTCGCAGTTTAGTTCCAGTGCATTTGTTCAGTTTAATTATTTTTAATTAAATTTGACAAATTTTTTCCTCAATTAAATAGGTATTATGGGGTATTAATAAAAATAAAATAATTTTTTGACAATATTTTACAAATGAGCATAAGATAAATGTAATTACATCTTTTTTTGTACTAATATGAATTCAGTTTCTTTAACTAATATTCAAAATTAGTCTAGTTTGACTCTAAAAAAACTAAATTGGAGAAATACATGGGATAAATATATATATATATATATATATATATATATATATATATATGTATGTATGTATATGTATATGTATATGTATATAAGAAGTGTATAAAATTTTAATTACTTTCCCTCTCTTTTTTTAAATGCTTATTCATTATATATATGAACTTTACATATATTGAAAAATGAATAGATATAGACACACGCTTGCAATTAAAACCCAAGCACATTTTAATGTGTCTCTTTAATTTTTTTTACAATTAAGAAAAAATGATTAAATTTTACTAATTCAAATTTTGAATTGCAGTAGGAATTAATAAATATTGACCATTAGTTAAATAAAATTTATACTCGGTATTAAATATTGATATAATACAAGAATATACTCCATATTAGACTTACCTCGTTTCTCCTTTTTCTCTGTCTAGATTTAAGTATTTAACATGTAATATCCCAATGCTCAAGTGTTGTTTTTTTAGTTAATTAATTTGTTAAAAATAAATCAATTAATTTTCTTTTTTTTTCTTTCAAGAATGAGCTAATAGGTTAATTGTAAAATATGGTGTATAGGACTTACAAGAGAAGATGACCCCATAGATGGCTTTGATGATCGGACGAATTTTCGCCGATGAATTCGACGGGCAAGGCACCACCCGCAGCCTCGTTGGCCAGCCGCAGCCTGGAAGACTCGATGGCCGCGAGCACCGACCGATTCGAAACGGAGACGTCGTCCTCGCTGGCCGACGTCTCCGAGGAGAGATTAAATTTTCTAGAGTAGTGTTGCCATGGGAAGTTGGAACAAGGCAAAGAGTTTGCATGCATCATTTCTTGCCACCAACTTTGTGTGGTAGGGGAATTGTTATTATTATTATTGTTATTAGGGTTAGGGTTAGGGTTAAGAAGAGAGGTTTCAGTGCACTCTGCTGCCATTTCTAGGTTTTCTGGAAATTGATACTATATGATGAAGGTTGAAGGCTTAGCTTTATTTAATTTCTTGTAGAATTAATAGCTTTCATTCTTTATGATATGGATGGGTGGAATTTAAAGAGAATATGGTACGTGTGGTGACGTAGGACGCTAGGTCGTGTTTGGCAGGGCTATTAAGTTAAGATAACAATTGGGGTACACCAAGTGTACACCATCGCACAAATAGGCACACACAAACATTTTTAATGTCGGTGCGTGCACAGACATTAAATGTCCGTGTGTGCCTATTTGTGCCTTGGTTTACACTTGGTGTACCCCAAGTGAGGTTCTCCTCGCAGCTCCCGTTATTTTATTCTTAGTTTTTTCTTGCGGTAATTTACGGAGTATTATAGTACTCCCTCCGTTCTCAAAAACACTTCCTCTTTCATTTTTTTCACTTCCAACAAAATACTTCCACTTTCTATTAAAAAACCACTTTTATCCTTACTTTTTCATACCCTACATATCACATCATACTTTATCTCTAATAATCTATTCATCGCATCTTACTCTTACCTATCACATCAAGGGCAAAATTGGAAATCAACTACAATTTAATACTCTCTTATTTTTACACAAAGTCAAAAGAGGAACACTTTTTTCCAAACGGAGGGAGTACTATGTAGTATTATTGTTATGTAGAAAGGTGAGATTCCAATTCAAAGTTAATTGACAATGAGTTACTAAACACCTACCAATGCCAAATATACATATTTTTGTGCTACCAAACACGAAAACTAAATTTGAAATCTTCAAATTCAATTCCACGACTTAAATTTCGTGTACTAAATGTAATTTTTTTTTAGCTTGGAATTTGGATGGGAGAACTGTATGATACATCAACATCTGCCCGAGTGCAACTTGAGTCAAATAGATCTCAACATTTGTTTTGAGTTCTTAGACATTGACTTTGATGCCGGCCATATCTCATTAGTGGGACATTCTAATTCAAAACCAATTCATAAGGGAAAAGTATATATGCAACTCATACTCTCATGGTGTTTTCAGACGATGGTAAAGAACACACATATCTCACATTATCTCGAATATAATTTAAAGGTTTTTAAAATTCCTGCCTTCATGGTAATGTACTAAACTTTACATTGATTATTATTATTATTATTATCATATTTTATTAAAATCTTTTACTTTCAATAAAAAAAATCATGATGTTAGTTATACTTTGTATTACTATCAACGCAACACATTTTTTTTAAAAATAATTTATTTTAAATCATTAGAAAAATGAATTTAACCTTTATATTTTAAATTTAAAGTATTTATAAACTTTTAAAAATTCAAACTATTTATAAATTAAAGTATTTATAAACTTTCAAATATTTAAAAATTGAAAAATATGTATAATACTACCTTCGTTTCTCAAAAGAGTTCCTCTTTTGACTTTGGGGGAAAATAAGGAAGTGTTAAATTGTAGTTGACTTTCCAATTTTGCCCTTGATGTGATGGATAAAAGTAAGATGTGATCGTTTAGTTGTTAGTGAAAAAGTATGATGTGATAGGTAGGGTATGAAAAAAAGTAGGGGTAAAAGTGGTTTTTTAATAGAAAGGGGAAGTGTTTTAGGAAAAACAAAAAAAATGAAAGAGGAAGGGTTTTAAGAAACGGAGGGAGTACATACTTCCTCCATCCTTGAAAACTTTCTCCTCTTTTTTTCATTCGTCCCAAAGTAATATTTCTCATTTCTATTAAAAAAATCACTTTTACCTGATCCCTATTAATTCTTAAACTATATATCACATCACATCTATTCACTATTAATCTATTCATCAAATTTTAATTTTGTCCTTCACATTTAATGACATTTTTAGAAATTCAACATCAAAATACACTCTTTAAAATCCCTTAAAAATCAACATCTCCCATGTTTTCATGGATGGAGCGAGTATTAAAATTTAAATTAAAGTGTTACAAAACATGTAAATGTATAATGTTTTGAAATAAAATATGTATTTTAAAAAACATGCCACAAAATCCTTTAGTTTTATAAAGTAATTTTATTAAAAATTTATAAATACTTTAATTTAATGGTTTAAAATTATTAAGTTTAAATACTCTTTTAGAATAATAAACTAAATTATGTCTTTCAAAATTTTTTTGGGATGAAAATATGTAACCTCATCATTCCATTCAACCAACAATAAAGTTCTCGTTCACTGTTCACATGATCAAATTTTATTCATTTTGTTGGCCTATTTTTGTGTTAATTTGATAAAATAATATAGTCATGTCACATCTAGTTTTGTCGATCTTTTAATGTAGTTTTTAAATATCTAATTTTTTTTTAATTCCTTGCCACTTTTCATTTAAAAAAATCTAAAAATAACTTCAGTCAAACATCATAACCCACAACGATAATTTTATTGATGGACGAAGGAAGTACTTTTCTTTTTAGAGCAGGAAAATTTTATGAAAAGTCTAGAAATTGGAGAAATAAAAGAATGTGATTTTCCAAACACGCCTAGGTTGTTTGGGACAGACAATGAGATATGCCATTGAGCTTTCCCACTTAAGTTTGTGCGCAATTATGATACATGTTGGGGGGCAGGGACAGGGCCACTAACAACGGGTTTGGTTTTTGTGTATTCTTTAACTAATTAATTACTCTTTCCCCTCCAAAATGTTCTTCGTATTTGTTTTTGATAAGTAAAAAAATACATTATATTATGATATAAATTTAATATTAATATATTTTCTATTGAAACGTAGTTTTCAAATATCGTTTTTAATAAAATATATCTATGTATAAATATAGATATTAACGATGAAACTGCAGCATTGAAAATCGTAAAAAAGTCAAATGAGAAAAACATTTTCAGATGGAAGGAGGAATTAATTAATGGTAATTAATAGATTAATAGAGTTTTCTAATTCATGAGAAAAGTACATACTCCAAAGTCCAATCCAATATGACTATATGTGCACATACGACCTACTCACTATTAAAATCAACGGATAAAATGCCCCAATTTAAAACTGCCCAAAATAGCTACTCCCTCAATTATTTTTAATTTACGAAGTTTGACTGAAATTATTTTTAATTTAGTTTCTTTGACTATGGGTATAAAATTTAAAAATAAAAAATTATATGTTTTAAATTTACATCAAAAGATTTACAGAATATAAAACAAGAGGTGACATGACTATACTTTTCTCGTCCCTGAAAACCTTTCTCCTTTCTTTTTTTCATCTGTCTCAAAAAACACTTCTGATCTTATTTCTATTAGAAAGTCACTTTTACTTCTTACTTTTTCATAACCTACCTATCACATCATATTTTCTTACTAATAATCTGTCCATCAAATCATACTTTTACTCATCACATCAAAGGACTTTTTTGCAAATTCAATACCAAAATACACTTTCTTTAAATCTATTAAAAATCAATAACTTCCATGTTTTTAGGACCAGAGGGAGTATTATTTTGTCAAATAACTAACGAAAATATGTATAGAAAGTGATTAAAGTTTGACCATGTGAATAGTGATTGGGAAGATCATTTCAGGACGGAACGGAAACTACTTTACATCTCATTTTATTTTGAGTGTTTGATTTTTCTTGGTCAAATTACTACTATATGGAGTATGTTACTTGCCTGTGTTTTAATTTATTCGTCTAATTTGACGCGTTTGAGTTAAACTGGACGATGAACTTTAGACTTCATAATAAATATTCCATAATTGTAATGTATATTATTTTAAAAGTGATTTCATTATATTTATCTTGTTATAAATTTTTAAATTTTGATTTCATTGTATTAATATGCAATATCAATCGAAGGTAATTAAAGTTTGATTTTAAAACCAGATTTCATTGTATTAATATGTAATATTAATTAAACTTTATCCAGTTTAACTGGGAAAAAATCAAACCGGACGAATGTACTGATACAGAAGCTAATGAATAAATATTAAAGAGTTACTATTAATAAGTCAGACCATTAGAACACACGAAATGTTTTTAAGGAAATAGTACTCCGTAATTTTTTAGTGCAAAGATCAATTAATTTTCTTGAGGTCTACAAGCAATAAAAATGTAGAGACTGTTTTAACTAATTTCTTGTAAAGAATATTTTAACTAATTTTAATCAATGGAAGTTAATTAGGTAGTTGAGTCAAAGTGTTAAACAAAGCACAAAAAGTAAAATAAACAAATTAAAAGCCCCAACGCTGAATTTTACCACCCACTAGCTAGCAGAGTGGAAGGTCTCGTCCTATGATTTTTTTAATTAACTACTCCCTCCGTCCCGGAGTATTCGTCCAGTTTTGATTTTTGGAACTGTTTATTTAAGCACTTTGACTCATAAAATTCTCTCAATGTGTAAGCTTAAATATAGTCATGTGTGATCTTGTTTGATTTGTTTTAACATATACTACGTAGATTATTAATATATAATTTCTAAAATTTTTTAATATACAAATTACAAGATAAAATGGATTTAAAAAGTGTATTGGATGATGTGTGAAAATGAAAGTGGACAATACTCTGGGACGGGGGGAATATCTCAATACATAAACTTTGTTTATTTTTACACTTTTAGTATTCACATGATTATCGTTCACTTAATAGGGTGGCCCATACTTTGGCTCGTAAAGCTGAGCTTTAGCCAAGTACTTGGGATACTATTCCACCTACGATAAAGCTATTTCTACCCTATATTTTCGTAACTCGTAGCTTTGCACCAATTAAATCTAATTTTTGTTAATGTACCAATAATTTTTGTTCATGTTTTTGTACCCCACTTTGCATTACCTCTTTTGATTGATTAGTGTATATGTACGTTGTTTGTCTAAAGAAAATAGTTAAGAATTGTTTGATAAGGTTCATTTTTTTATATATATCATGGTAGAGTAAATAGATTCAGTCCTCCCTGTGGTTTGAAAAATTAGCATCAATACCCCCTCTGTTTTTTCACTGTTTTTAAAATTTATTTTTAAAGTCTTCATGATTTCAAAATGTTGTATGCACACCTTCTCCGATCCATTTCCAGTCATTTTCCAGTGAGAGGGGTATTGATGCCTACTTTCTAAAACATAGGGACACTCGTGCTCATATCTTGTAATTTGTTTATTATTTGGTTTTTTTTCTTTTTTCAACTCTTTTTTATCTATTTGTTTACTTTAACAAGAAAAGTTTTTAAAATTTGTTTTCAATTTTTTATACTCATAATGTTTTAAAAAATTTAAAATTCTAAGTTTGAAATAAAAGTCAAAATAAAAAAAATTAACAAATACTACATCTATATCAAATTAAACATTTTTACTTTTTGTTTTCTAGAATAATTTTTTGGTAAGTTCAAAAGGCAAAACTAGAATAAAAAATAAAAATAAAAAAATTGAAAAAACATAATGAAAAAAATGAAACATGGAAAAAGATTCTTATACAAAAAGAATTTTCAGAATGCCTAAAAAAGTCCTTAGATCGAACTGGGATGTCTAAAAAGGATATTCATTTTTATTTTTTGTTTTATTTTATTTCTTGTTTTACTCATCATTTTTTGAAGTTCTCAAAAAAATTTACTTTTTTATTTCGAAAAAACATAAAAAATTAATTTGGGAAGTATAGATGCAGTATATAATAATTATTTTTTAGAAAAAGAATAATTTTAAATTTAAGAACATTATAAAACTAATTTGAAAAAGAAATTTAAAAAACCTTGATTAATAAAAGAAACATATAAAGAAAAAATGGTAAAATAAATAAATAAAAAATAAAAAATGAGCACCAGTTTCCACTATGTTTTGAAAAATACGCACCAATGCCTCCAAAAAAATGGCCGGAAAATGATGCTATTTGGCCTATCAGGATATTACAAATTCACCCTCGAAGTCTTTTGATCTCCCAAAATTGAGAGAATTAATCCAAGAATACTTACGTCTTTCAAGCGCCAACCACCTTTGCAGGCCACGTACCTGCCATTTTCGGCCACGCTCGCGACACACCACCACCCACCATAGCCGGCCATCAATAATTGCCTTGGGTCACCTCCGGTCACCCAGCCTAAAACTAACAACTATAATTTCAAACTCACCAAATACGTTTGTTTAAACTTTCAACACTTATATCAAAAAAATTTTCACAGTTCAAACTCATATCGTATTAACCCTACAAAATTCAACAAACAAATCCTTAAATGTTTGGATTATTCTCTAACCATTTTATAATTTCTATATTGCCTCAGCCAACAAATTAAACATATCATTTCAGCAAATTCGGTGTTCTATTTTGATATCAAGGAGACCTCTTTCCTCCTCCCAAAGAAAAAAAAAATGCTTCGAACCCTTAACCTATGGGTTGAGTTTGCAATGCTCCAAAGACACTAACAAAGCCAAAAGAAGCCAATCTACTATGAACCTTAGATCCACCTAAAAATTGACCCCCGTCCAATCCCGAGCCTCTTGCGCCGCCCCTCTTTTCTTCTCTCTTGATTGGCACTAACCAAACACGACGTCTCCCACAGCGACAGATTGTATGATTGAAACATATGCAAATGAGAGAACAAAATGAAACACGCAATACCTTGCTTGAAAAAGGATGTTTTTCAAAGACAACCCGAAACGAATAAAATTTGAACATAAAAAAGGGGATAGAGATGGAGTACTTAACTAGATGTAAAGAATAACAATCCCCCCTCCCCCCCCCCCCCCTAGGCCCTAGCAAGAAAGCAACCATGCATAGATGGCACAGCCCTAAAAACCTTGATGATTATTGATGATTATAAAGAATATAAATGCCACTATACAAACGTGGTAGTGCAGACAGAGCTAAAAAGCAACGAAAGCAAATATCTTTTCCTAATTTTTTTTTATCTTTCTTCCCCCATGAGGAGTATTAAACAGGTAAAACAAAGAAGAAAAAAAAGAACACAGCTTGAAATGGATGTACAGTTACCCAACTTGAGAACATACTGTTTGCTAACATATATTTTCTCCTCTAAGTCCCATCCACATTCATCCATTCCAAGTAAGACAGGCATAATAAAAGGCCAAGTCCCCATCATCATCATCATCATCATCCGATCACCATCCGTTTTCGGTCATTGGTCACTCACCCTCTTCTTCTTCTTCTACTCCAACAAACCGCGGGTGAGTCAGCGAATCGGGTGGTACTGTGTGATTCCGCGCTTAGGAGGCAACTTCCTCAGTATGAAAAGGACAAGGGAAGAGGGTAGTATCTCCACTAACTGCAAATAGTTTCAGACAATGACATCTTCATTATATATTCCTTTCACTTGCAAAACGGAGTGGATTTTGGACACAAACAACGCTAAGCTTGCCCGGCCTATCTTTCCTTCTCACAAGAAGGAAATTTCGTCTTGTGTATGTGTGTGCATATCTATGAGAAGGTTGGAGGCAAGCTAGTTTGATATGTTCATTTTTAAAGCAAGACCCAGCCCGAAAATGCCAAGTTTTGAACAAAGATTGTGACATGAACCTAAATGACCTGCTAAAATAAATGAATCACATCCAACCAGACTGAGATACAACCCAACCGACTCCTTGACTTTTCCATACTCTTTTAATAGAAAATCCATATACAAGTAGCCTTACAAGCTAATACGCTAAATTGAAATAGGGAGATAAGAAACACTAATCCATTTCTGCTTTTATAATTTAATATGAATTATAAAATTATTAGTAGACTTACCAGGTAATATGCTAAATTTAATATAGGGTGATCTAAAACCTCAAGATCAGCTGCTTCGTCGAATGCATCAAAGCAAGTCTGTGGCAAAGAAAAAAGAAGCTAAATTAATGAAAAGTATAATCAGGAATGGTAACAAAATTTCAAGCAGTGCCTCATTCATGTTTCATCATAAACAGATGAACTCCATTTTCACTACAATAGCTAGCAGGTACTCAATGTCGTGTTTACTGAGTAAAATTGGGATTGGACACAATTTTGATCCAGGATGGCCCAAAAGACCCAGACAGCTGGTCATAGGACTGCTCACCAGAGACTGGAATGGTTTATCAGTTATATAGCAGTTCTGGTCCAGTATCAACTCCCGTCCTGATATATTAAAAACAAGCCTGATTTTTTTTGTCCTAAGCAATACCATCTGGTTACTCCATCTCAAATGTTGGATGGGATGTGATGGTATCCAATCCCAAGCAAAACTATATCATTTAATAACAACACTCCTTTCAGACCGCAAGTCAAACACTCAGGTAATCCGATCATAACTGTTTTTAGAAAGGTCAAGCTTGGGTGATTCACATACTCAAGGCAATACGTATTTTCCCATGGTGACGTGGTGACACTGATAAGGGGCGATGAGATTACCAGTCATTTTGACAAAACTTGAAATTGGACTTGAAATTCAAATTTTTAACTAGTTCTTGAATTGAAATTTACCTTAAATTTCTAAAATTTTAAATTTGGATTTAGGACTTGTTCTCTGAAAAAATCTTACCTTAATTTTTTTATATCCGGTCTGATCTGACTTTCTTGTCCAAATTACTTTCTTTGTCCCGTAACTAAATTCACACTTCGATTTCACGTAGATTAAGGCAAATCTTAAAGTGGGTTTGACTATCCAATTTTGCCCTTGATGTGACCTTGATGATGTGATGTGGTTGGAATAAGAGAAAGTGAGTGTAATGTGAGTGGGGGATCAATAAGGTTGGATATAAAAGTGGGGGTGGGGTATAAAAAGTGATTGAAAATGGTTGGTGTATTATACTCCCTCTATCCCTAAATTATTGTTCTCTTTACTATTTGAGGCTTGTGATAACTTTTGTTTGCGTATGCATTTTCATTGATCATTTGATAAAACAAAATAGGCATGTCACCACTTGTTTTGTAGAACTTTTAACGAATGTAAGTTGTACTTTTTATTTTTATACCAATTTGTATTAAAATTAGTCTAAAAGAGATAGGATTTTGCATGTTCTTCAGTTGTACCAAATATGAAAGTGTGAATCTTTTGGGGTGTTCACTATAGTGAGGCTACAACAACAAACCTAACATAATCCCAACTCCAATGGGGTTGGTGGTTCAAGGTGTACGCAACCTTACACCTATAAAAAACATAGGGGTCATTTCCTATAGACCCGTGATGCATTTAAATCTTCGTGTTGTGTAGTCTTCTTAAATAAACTCTGGCTTCAACAGGATATTACTTACATTACAAAAGCATGACTTCATTATGCATCTTATATAAAATGTAGGTGATTGAGTGGTTCATATAAAAAATGGGGCTTTTGATTTAGCCAAAGTTCAATGTAAAAGACTCACCATTATGCATCTAATGAGGAAGCATGCAAAGCAAATTGTAGTCACATAGCCGACCTGCATCAATGAAAATATACCGGGGCAGTTACAAGTTATAACACAATCGTGCCACTTTCTGGTCAATGCATTTAAGTGTAAGCTGTTTAAACTGGCATATGACCGAAAGCTTAAATTTTCAAACAAAATGCTTCTCTTTCTTCCATATATTAGATTAATAGCTGCACAAGGAACTTGCTATGAAAGCCTAACAAGTGTAGTAAAAAAACAGAAGTGAAATAATACCTCCTGTAGTTTCTTCTGTCTTCCTTTTGATTCAACGGGAAACCTCTGCAACATCAGGAAGAGCCTGGAGGACGGTATGGAAAGGTGAAGTTGAGTTGCATAGAAAGTAAACATGAGAGAATGCATGTATATGGACAATGATGAGTGATGGCACTAAATGTAGAATATCTGAACTGAAACATCTGAGGATCACAGACTCTTCCTATCAATGTATATGCACAGTTTTGGATAAATAAAAGCAACTGATTCAGATCTGTAAAGATACTAAATTGATTTTTGCCCAAACTTTGTCTTCACACACTCTCAAATCTAACAACAACAAAGCCATATGATCACAACTTCATGTCAAATATTAGGGCTGAACAAAAGTGCTAGACCTACACGCTACACCGACCAAAACAAAACCAACCAAAACCAATCTAAACAAAATATAACCATTGCTGATTCAATTGTGGTTTCAGATTTAGACTACGAAAAGCAACCAAAACCAACTGAAACTGACTAAACCTGACTGCAAACAAACATACAAAGACCGAAGAAAATGACCAAACTGAAACCAACGTAAGCTGAACAGACAAACACCCCTACCCAGTATGATCCACAACAAATTCATACACCGAACAACAGAATGGGAAATGGTGAAACCTTTAGAAGATAATATGTTTTTCAATAACTCAAGGAAAATATTTGACATATAACAGAAAGAAGCACCGAAGGACACCCCAAAAAATTCAATGCCAAATCCTGATGGACTTGGGTTGGGAAGAATTTATGCAGGTTGCTTTACATATTATTTTGAGATTTCTCTTGTACCAGAATTGGAAATTTTGGGCAAGTGTGATGTCAAGATCAACAGCCATTCTGAAGAAAACATTGTGTTTCATATAGCCATATAAGAATACCCAAGATTAATATATAAAAAAGTAAATTCATGTTCCTTAATAAGAACACCAACAGAACAAATAACTCGGGTCGCACAATTATCAGCAAATTATATGCATATTGTAACAAGCAGTACACAGTTTTTTGAACAATATACGCTTACGAATTCAAATCAATGGCTAATGATGAAAAGGACTATCTACCTTCCACCATAAAGTAAAAACCCCAGGGCCGCAAATAAGGACACACCTGCAAATCAGAAATGTCAGTACATCATAGTAGAGCTTAATACTTTAAGTTCTTAAAGTATCAAAAGTATGAGAAAACATATCATATAAACCTGCAAAGAACAACTTAGACAAGATGACCAAAAGTGGGATAGGATTCCACCATAAAACCAACCACAAGACTATCTGCAAGTCATTCAAGAGAGTTAAACGACCAACACAATACAGGTCATGCGAGTAGTAGTAAATAAATAAAAAAGTGAGTGTGTAAATTCACATGCATGCTGTTTTCATCCAATATTTAGAAGATGTTGAAATTGCTTTTCTTTTAATGATGCTACTCATTATGGACATATTAACTGCTTAGATCATAGTTACATGGGAACATGGTTCCAGATTGCGGTGTGTACAAGGGGACATGGTTCACACTATTATCATGCATCCATGCATGCAAAACATGTTCACAATTTGACCACCCGCCTCTCGCCATAAAAAAAGGTCCTATC